GTTTATTTTTCAAGGTTTTATTTTATTTAGTTTTATATGTTCTAAAACATTTTATTTTGACAAATTGATGACATTTATAATACGTAACGTTAATTGTTTTAAGAATTCCCGCCCGAAAATACGGTTGTAATTGCCCGTTTGCGGGTCATTACGCAATGGACTATAGCTTAGAAAATATCATCCTTCAGAAATACACCGTAGCGTGTTGCCCATATATGATCAATTTTCGCTACGGTCAGATTCATTAAGGTCGAATTTGACCGTAGCGAAAATTGGCATATACGGCATTCTGATTGGTTTGCTACGGTCAAACGTAGCAAACCAATCGGAATGGGGCAAATGCTATAGTTTGCTACGGTGGCATGAAATTGGCTACTGCTCCAGAACGATGGAATATCTGATATTTGTGTTTGGCTCATCAACAACATGCTATTGGGAACCCACAGTACGGTTGTGCGCACTTCGAAATGAAAGCCGTCGTAAAGCTAAAGGATTTATATGCGTCGAGGTAGAAATAAAATCAGATAGTAAAACGAATCATTTCCAGTCAGGTAAGCCTTATGAATGATAAGAGATGCACATTATATTTTAATTTGAGTTTTTACTGTATAGTGTTCGCTATCAACTTCGCTTTATTAAAGTGTTTGTGCGCGTATGTACAGTAATACCTGCATGTATTGGAATTAATACGCGAATTATGATACGCGCGTATATATATCGTGTTTTATAGCGCGCTAATATTTGTTTGTAATGCGTATATATTCGTAAGATAGTTAAGATACGCGTATTCATATCATACGCGCGTTCATATATGATATGCGTATTCGTATGATACACGCGTTCGTAGATGATACGCGCATTTCGGTATTCAATTGATAATGATATGCGTATGATACGAGTATCATACCGATATTGTATGTTAAAATATACGCGAGCAATAGTTTACATTTTGAGATCATTTCGGCTTATTTTTGCTTGAGAAATGAATACAATGAGGACAAATTTAATGGTCACATGCAGTGCTCAGAACGCAGGAAATGGCATTTCCGGGCTTCAAATTTCAAAAATTTTCAGGGGGGGCATGCCCCCAGACCCCCCCTAGCTATGCGAGGTCTTGGAAAATGCTACGGTCAGATTTTTGGCTGGATCCGCCCCTGTCGACGACATCACAGAATAAGTCACACAGAAGCCCGACTTCTTGGTTTTTCCTATGATTTTCCAATGATTTTGGCGTAACCATAATTCGTCATCAAAATGCTGACGCCATGGTCCCAGCCAGTGCGTGTTTGAGAGGCATTCACCTCCCCTGATAATATTAAAAATGGCGGACGTCCGGGGGGAATGCTTCTCAAACGCGCACTGGCTGGGACCATGGCGTCAGCATTTTGATGATGAATCATGGTGTGGCAGCGGTTACTCTAGTCGACCTTCTGTGTGTCTTATTCTGTGACGACATCGTTAACTGGCAACATTCGTCATTAACATTTGGAATTAACCTGCTCGATTAATCGTTGTGTATAAACGTAGCTTTAGGCAACTTTTGTATTGTGGAGGACGAATTCGGATTCATACCCAAACCTGCACGGTTCCACCTATTTAGACAGAACCATTGTAGGTTTGAGGGAACGTGGAAGTTCTATACCTGTATATATATATATATATATATATATATATATATATATATATATATATATATATATATATATATATATATATATATATATATATATATATATATATATATATATATATATGCCGGCAGGGACGCCGGAACGATGTGAAGGCAAGGGGGGTAGCTAGATTTTCGTGAAAGGGCACTTTTGAATTGATTTGTACTAAGAGATGGATGTTTGCAAAACATCGGGAGTTGAACTTCGCCTAATCATGTTTTCTATTTATTGGATGATAGGGGTATGAGGGGGTTCTCCGCCAGGCGATTGTGCTGTAACTGCTATTCTTGAAGCTCGATGACTGCATTTCTTGCGTTTTCTGAAGCAAATTCGTAAAAGAATTGCACTAACATTTCTGACAATTCGCTATTTCGCCAAGGCAATCCTTTAAATTGAAAGGGCACCTTTGCCCCCTTGCCCCTCCTGGTAAAGGGCAACGGGGGAGGTTGCCCCTCCTGCCCCCCCCCCCGTTCCGGCGTCCCTGTCTGTCGATTAATATTTCTATGGTTTCACTCCAGGAATTTTAAGTATACTCGTAGCCTACGTGGCAGGCCCTCGTATACCAACAAAATCATCAAATGTCACAAATCGTGATATAAATTCGGTTCTAATAACGTTTTATGAATCATTTTTGAGCAGTGGACATATGGTCAGATATGGATATGATTCAACATGGTTATGGGGGCGGATTAAATAGTGGGGAAAATCGTCACGAGTTTTTTAGACAAACAAAGTGGACTTGTCTAGTGTATCAAAGAGAGTGGGCGAAAAATACCATGCATTGCCATACTATTCAAATGGTTGAATAGTGGTTTACGTTGGAATGGCTGGATACTTGGATATAGAGACAATATATAATTAGTTTAGCCCTATAAATAGGGTTTAATAACCTAGTTATGTATCGTCAAAATGACATGGACAATTTGACATTGTCATTGACCTAGGTCTTATAATAGACCTAGGTCTTGATATTTGCTGTGTTGGTGTAGTGTACTCAGGTGAATAAGATGCTTGTCAGTGATGTTACTCTGAGTATATATCCACACCGGGCAGGCTTGAAAACCGTTGCCGTTCACATATAATTAAATGCTATGATGCTAGCAATCCAACCTAAGTGCGAACTATAAATGGCAAACACTTGGAAATCATCACGTTCACGTTATTCGGTGCCGGTCGGATAGCATCATGATCAGTTCTAAATTTTAGTTCCATCATTCCATGAGACCATGAATGACTTGCCAAACAAGTGTTTTACTGTAGCTTTTTACGAGCATTGGCAAGTTTGGCTAAAGTTTGAGTCAAAGGGAGGGGGTAAGTAGGGCAACTCTTTTCTTGTCGGTAAAAATGGGATGTCAACCCCACCCCCACTTCGAAGGGCCAAGGAACAGCTGACCTAAATGGCGGAGTGAACGAACGGTCGGGCAATCGCCTGGAATACACGCTTCCGGGACGCGTACGTCACCTTGGCTATACAGTAGAGCCTCGTTTTCATGATTGAACTTTAACTAATGTCCATACACGAAAACGAGACATTCTGGCCAATGTGACGTACTTTCCGGATAGGTTTATTGGTGAAATGTTCTGTCTTAGTCTTTACGCACTTTTGAAAAAGGCAAATTCAGCAGTATACGTACATTACAAGAACATCAAACACTTTTACTCTATACGTATATGATCAGTCATAGGCGTACGGGACGGGGGGGCAGGGGGGGGGGGCAGCTGTCCCCCCAAAAGATTACAAAGTCGAAAAGTCGGGCAAATATTCAACAAAAGTCGGGCAAAAGTGGGGGAAAAAGTAGTGAAAGCAATGAAATCTCTCTTAATAATAACCCCAGTTTGTTGGGCAAACAAAGCCAGTAGGGCAATATTCGCTTCACAGTCGGGCAATATTGGGTTATCATAAAAATAAATGGGACAAATTCAGCCAATTTTGCGTGAAATTATGTAAATTTTGTGATGTTTGGGAAAATTTGTTTGATGTTCCGAAAAATTTAGGTATGTCCGAAAAATTTTTGGACCCCTAAAATGGTACACTGACCGAAACTTTTTGGCGAGGGGGCGGAGGTCGCCAAAAATTATTGTTCCGGAAAAAAATTTTTGGGGCACTGGTCGGGCACAATTCGAAAAAGTCGGGCAAATTTCTATGTGCCCCCCTAATTTTTTCCTTCCCGTACGCCTATGTGATCAGTACTTTTAGTAGTGTTTCGATAGAATGAAGTCTTGTGAGTATTCATGTATGATGTATTTCCAATTCCCTGGTCCTGGACTTGGTATCAGGGTCTATAGGGGGGCTTCCATAACACTTTTTTAGCGGATAAGCAGCTCTTAAAATATAGATTTAATCGTATTATGTCCTGTTTAAAAAGCGTGAGCTTTTTTCCATCGCCAGGTATAATTCAGCTATACTAATCAATTTTTTAGTGGCAATTTTTCAGCAGACTTTTTCAATCCAGTGGCAGAAAATACAGGGAATGGTACTTCCAAGCCTCAATTAATTTTTCAAACTTTCGGGGAGAACATGCTCTCGTACCCTGGTTGCCAGAAGTTCTGGTATCTTCCGCCCCATTCTCGCTCGTATTTATTTAGCCACGCGAGGCGAAGAATTAATATATAATACACAAGAACCATGCCTTCGAACCCCCCTAGAATTTACACTAGCCCTCCTAGGTCTCAGGGACATCTTGGTGGTGGCGGGTGAGAAAAGAGACAATTTCTCATGGCAAACTCAGGGGACCAGTCTGTTTTATAATCTGCCCGATTTTTACAAATTTACAATCTGCCCGATTTTTAAGTACAATTGCTCAACTTTTAAGCCCAATCCGCCCGACTCAAAAGTAATTGGAGGGGCTCCCCAGCCCCTCGCCCCCTCCTCCTCGCCCTCTCCCCCTCGGCCCCTCCCCCATCTCGTACGTCTATGGCTGCTATCATACTCCGTGATTTCCAGCATCGAAACCATGCCGGGTTATAATTCCATGAGTAAATATCGAGATTTTGTTGGCATCTCACTCGATTCAATAATAGTTGATGGTTTTTGTAGACGCATCTAATCTGACAGAAAATGGCACACGACATTGAATAAGGGGCGGGGGGGGGGGG